TAGATAGGGATGACGCAGATTTCTACGGTCACTTTTACCATTAACTCAGATATCTGCACCACTCTTATAATTTCTGTGACGCAGATTTCTAAGTTCATTTTGACTTATGACATAGCTTATTGAAATTAGAACGTCACAGAGAAGATTGGGATGATCCAGATTTGTGAGTTTATTTTTTCACGATGGTGCAACTCAGTGAAATTAAAACGTCAAAAAGGGAGATGGGGATGGAGAAGATTTCTGAATTCACATTTAATACTGACATACTTTATTGAAATTGGAACTTCACAGAGAAGATGGGTATGACGCAGATATCTGAGCTCTTTTTAACTCATGAACTCGGAAATCTGTGTCATCCCCATCTCTGTGACGCAGATTTCTGATTCATTTTTACTGATGACACAGCTTATTAAAATTGGAACCTCACAGAGAAGATGGGTATGACACAGATATCTGAGCTCTTTTTAACTCATGATCTCAGAAATCTGTGTCATCCCCATCCCTCTGAGGCAGATTTCTGATTCATTTTTTCTGATGACACAGCTTATTGAAATTGGAACCTCACAGAGAAGATTGGGATGACGTAGATTTCTCAGTGAATTTTTACTAATGACATACCTTTGTGAAATTGGAGAAGATAATGATGACGCAGATTTCTGAGGTCAATTTTACTGATGAACTCAGAAATCTGCGCTATCCCCATCTTCTCTTTGACGCAGATTTCTGATTCATTTTTACTGATGACATAGCTCATTCAAATTGGAATGCCACAGAGAAGATTGGTTTGAAGATTTCTGGGTTCATTTTTGCTTTTTGAAATTGGAACTTCACAGAGAAGATGATTATGACGCAGATACCTTAACTAATGAACTCAGAAATCTGCATCATCCCCATCTCTGTGAGACAGATTTCTGATTCATTTTTTCTGATGACACAGTTTATTGAAATTGGAAAGTCACAGAGAAGATTGGAAACGTAGATTTCTCAGTGAATTTTTACTAATGGCATCGCTTTGTGAAATTGGAGAAGATTATGTAACGCAGATTTCTGAGGTCAATTTTACTAATTAACTAAGAAATCTGTGTCACCCTTATCTTCTTTGTGACGCAAATTTCTGAGTTCATTTTGACTTATGACATAGCTTACAGAAATTGAAACGTCACAGAGAAGATATGGATAACTCGGATGTCTGACTTCATTTTTACTGATAACACAGCTCGTTGAAAATGGAACGTCAAAAGGAGAAGATTGGGACGGCAAAGATTTCTGGGTTCGTTTTTTACTGATAGCACCGCTCACTGAAATTGGAACGTCACAGAGAAGGTAGGGAGGACGCAGATTTCCGAGCTCAATTAAACAAATGACCTCAAACCTGCGTCATCCTCATCTCTGTGACGAAGATTGGTATGACAAAGGTTTCTGTGCACACATTTACTGATGATGCAGCTTACTGAAATTGGAACGCCATAGAGAAGACTGGGATGACGCAGATACCTGAGCTCTTTTTAACTCATGAACTCAAATCTGTGTCATCCCTATCTCTGTGACGCAGACTTCTCATTCAGTTTTACTAATAACATAGCTTATTGACATTGGAACATCACAGAAAAGATTGGGTTGATCCAGGTTTCTGAGTTTGTTTTCACGTTAGCGCAACTTACTGAAATTAAAACGTCAGAGTAGATGGGGTGACGAAGATTTCTGAGTTTATTTTTACTAATGCCATACTTTTTTTAAATTGAAATATCACATAGAAGATTGGTACATGTATGACGAATATTTCTGAGCTCGCTTTTATTGTTGACGCAGCTTACTGAAATTGGAACGCCACAGAGAAGATTGGGATAATGCAGAGCTTACTGAATTTGGAACGCCAAGGAAAAGATTAGGATGACGCAGAGTGTCTTTAAAGAAAATTTGAATTGAAAAATGGACCGTCGCAGAGATCCATGCGGGGCATTGCTTAACTTTTCAAATGTTAAATTAAAATTTATAACATTGCAAACAAGGGGAAAAAGACCAAGAAAGGGCATTAGGACGAGTTGTACGGTTTATGAAATCACACAAAGTAAATAATTTTCAGTAAGAAATAATAAATGAAAATTTTAATTTATATTTAATTATGTAATAAATTGACAAGTTTAACATACAGACGTTTTTGTGAAAAAGAAAATTTCTGGGCATTTTAAGAGTAATTTCTGGACATTTTAAAGGCATTTAGAGCTAATTTTCAGGGGTAAAAATTAGCTTTAGGGTACAAATATCAATTTCCAATTTCTCAAAAATAAAAAAATATGGAACGCTTCACGAATTTGCGTGTCATCCTTGCGCAGGGGCCATGCTAATCTTCTCTGTATCGTTCCAATTTTAGTATATGTCCCACCGAAGTGAGGACATACCGCTGGAGTCATTTCAGTCATTATATTGCAGGTAAATCCAATATGGCGGCTCAGGTAAGCAGTGCTCTCAAAAACATATTTTAGTCAATTCTTTCACTAAAATATCTGGTAAAGCTTTAAAATAGCCCAAATTGTTCCTTAGCAGTGTTACGTAACAATTTTAATTAATAATTTTACCTAATTTCTTGTAAAACAAAGTGTTCAATTTTACCTATTTTATCCTAGCAGTGCCTCTTAACTTACAGATTGTATTCAACTGCACACCTTTAATTGGCGCATGCGTGCTGCCATCTAGCGGTGATCACCTGACAATAACGAACCATGTTGGTAAGAAAGAGCATCTAGATAAAGCCGTCCTAATAGATCAATTGACAAAAAGATGCACTGGCTCTTGACCAGGTAACTGGCAAAGACCATAACTAGGATTGCATGGACGTTACTCAGACATGTCCATGTAGTAAGAAGGGAAGTATTTATTGATAAAAGATCTCCAAAACTTAAGTAAAAAAGTAGGTCAATCAGTTCACACCGTGTAACCCGGCAAACTGCTTCATTTTATGTAACAAAGACAATGCCAAAAAGTTGCCACAGTTTTTTAGATTTTGGAAAAGCGTTCTACCACACCAAGTTAACCTTGTCCACTCTGTACATAAGACAACCACGGCGGTGATGAACCGACACCCACCCACCCACACACATTTATATATAATAGCTAAACGATAGGCACATTGTGCTGTACAGGTAGTGAGGGGTAGGCCAACCCCTAACATAGACTTAACGGGAATTTACTATTTCGCCTTGAGAGCTCAGGACCAGAATTCGCATTAGGAAAAAGGTGGCAGTAACAGTACAAAGGCATCATCAAAAGAAAGAAGAAATTGAACTACTGGTAGAAAGATGAAAAAATATGATGCAGGACGACAATCGAAATTAAGCTGAGACAAAGTGTAGGCCTATAAGACCCCAAACTCGAAACTGCTAGTCATTAGAAATCAACTTCAAAAGGTATACAAGAAACCTAGCTACGTTGCTTGAACGTGAAGGTTTTGATTTTACAATTATCCTTAATCAAGGTTATATGATAGATATGCCGATTGCTATTTCCAAAATTTCAGAAAAATTAAGTATTTAACCTCTCCAAGCATTGATGATGGATACACATGTACAGTGTAGGGCCTAGATAAATAAACTGGTCCAACCCTTTCTCCGCCTTCTTCATCTTATTCATCAGACAGTGTATTATTTCACTTCTTACAGTCTGTGAAATAAAGAAAATGCAAAAGATACGTAAAGCCCCTCATTCCAGAAGAAAATGCAAATAATACGTAAAGCCCTTCATTTCATAAAATCCCAAACAGCCCATAGACCACGCAATGTCACACAGATGTAGGGCCTACGTTTCAACTCGCCAACACATCTGATAACAAAAAACTCACAGAGCCCAGTCTTCGGCCAACTAACATAGAACGCAACTGAAAATGCTTGCACTCTCGCTAGAAAAAAGTTATAAGAAAAGCTTGTTTGTGGTGCAAAGTGCAAGTACTAAATACCCGTAGTATGGAGGTCTTTTTCTAATTATACTCACCTCTGTCTGCTTATTTAAAAACGGTTAAATAACTTCAATGAATCTTCCAATACTGTTAGTTAACCTTGTCCACTCTGTACATAAGACAACCACGGCGGTGATGAACCGACACCCACCCACCCACACACATTTATATATAATAGCTAAACGATAGGCACATTGTGCTGTACAGGTAGTGAGGGGTAGGCCAACCCCTAACATAGACTTAACGGGAATTTACTATTTCGCCTTGAGAGCTCAGGACCAGAATTCGCATTAGGAAAAAGGTGGCAGTAACAGTACAAAGGCATCATCAAAAGAAAGAAGAAATTGAACTACTGGTAGAAAGATGAAAAAATATGATGCAGGACGACAATCGAAATTAAGCTGAGACAAAGTGTAGGCCTATAAGACCCCAAACTCGAAACTGCTAGTCATTAGAAATCAACTTCAAAAGGTATACAAGAAACCTAGCTACGTTGCTTGAACGTGAAGGTTTTGATTTTACAATTATCCTTAATCAAGGTTATATGATAGATATGCCGATTGCTATTTCCAAAATTTCAGAAAAATTAAGTATTTAACCTCTCCAAGCATTGATGATGGATACACATGTACAGTGTAGGGCCTAGATAAATAAACTGGTCCAACCCTTTCTCCGCCTTCTTCATCTTATTCATCAGACAGTGTATTATTTCACTTCTTACAGTCTGTGAAATAAAGAAAATGCAAAAGATACGTAAAGCCCCTCATTCCAGAAGAAAATGCAAATAATACGTAAAGCCCTTCATTTCATAAAATCCCAAACAGCCCATAGACCACGCAATGTCACACAGATGTAGGGCCTACGTTTCAACTCGCCAACACATCTGATAACAAAAAACTCACAGAGCCCAGTCTTCGGCCAACTAACATAGAACGCAACTGAAAATGCTTGCACTCTCGCTAGAAAAAAGTTATAAGAAAAGCTTGTTTGTGGTGCAAAGTGCAAGTACTAAATACCCGTAGTATGGAGGTCTTTTTCTAATTATACTCACCTCTGTCTGCTTATTTAAAAACGGTTAAATAACTTCAATGAATCTTCCAATACTGTTAGGAAAATAAAAATTAAAAAGATCAATGCCTATCTCATTAGACGTTGACAGTTTCAACCTCACTTTCTGCGCGGTCTTGGTGAGACTGATGGCACTGCACTTCCTGGCTGTGAGCACTTCTCACAATATGTCATGAGTAGCAGCTAGGGCACTGTCCTCGTGGTTACTTCATCATAATCAGACATGGGGAAAACTTTGGAGATACTGAAGGACCAGAGGATCCGCACTGCATAAAAACATGCAGGTCTGCTGGTCCGAACTAAATGTTTAATTTTCGATAGTCTATACGTTTACATGAAATTTATTTTTATAGAATGTATTTTCACAAAAACCCTGCCAGTCCGCAGGATCTTGCAGGCCATCTAGCAATTTTCTCCTGTTTGATATAATATATTAATGTGTCACTGTATAACTTGTGTGCGTGACAGTTCGTATCCACTTTTGTCTCCGTTCCCTCCAGACGTCAGAAAGTGAGGTTAAAACTGTCAACATCTAGTGAAAGAGGTGTAGGCTTAAACCATTACATATATTAGTATACATTTCCCTTTATGTCAAAATGCAACAAATAATATGAATTAACAAACAGCATTACAATCAAACATACGAAATTTTTAGCCACAGTATAATTTTTACTTTTCATAATATCATGCCATTACCATTCCCTCTTCCACGGTCACAGATTAGTTTTCACTACGTATTCACAGATAGGCCCTATATATCTCTGGCTATTTTATGACACAATTCTCCGCTGAAAAAAAGTACGCCTAATTAATCTGCAGCCCTGGTAGAGCGTATCATTAACGCTACTGGAATGCAGGCCAAGAGCATATATATTCTAAAACAATCTAGTTTTTAAATAATTTCACACATACGAGTTACATGGCAATAAAAGAAGCCCGAATGACTGCTAATCAAAATTGGTTTCTATGCAGAATTCTATTAATAATTCGACCGACAACCATAAAATAACTTATAAGACACCGTGTCCCTCTTTCACCAAATCAAGTGTGATATCTTACATTTATCTCACCATAGAAAAGTCTTGAAAACTTGAAGCTTTGGTCGAAATACTTGGCGCCTGCTGCAGAGACAGAACAAGCTACTACACGTCTCTTTCCCCTTGACACACTTCTGAGAGGTAACACCGGTGAAGAAAACCGTTCACTGAAATTGACAAATCACAAGTCAGTTTGGTACTTCGCGGAATCATGTACTTTTAGCTTAGCCTGTCCCATTGTAGTTTAGGGAGGGGCAGCTAATTGCCCGGTACATTTTGCCAAATAATTTAGGTATCAGTGACATCGTAAAAAGCAAATGATTGGCCCAAGGGATCTCATATTATGTGCTCTGAAATATTAGTTGCGTGTAACGTAATATTCTAGTTAAGCGGGGAAATCGCACACACGTTTGCCCCAACGCGATCCCTGTGCATTATTTTCTAGTGCGCGTGGGATAAATCCCTGTGTGAAAGTTTGTATCTTTTCTTTTGTAATTTGTATCAATTTGAAATTCATTCGTACAGTTCGTCTGGGAACGATTCATAACAATCGTTTCACGCGACACTGCAGAAATGCGTAAACGGGCGTGCTCCCCTCCACGACAAAACTTAAGTCGAAATCTGTTATATTTGCCAAATCAGACTGGCGGCGCTAAAAGAGAAAAAAAAACATTAAAAAAAAATTAAAAATAAAAATATTTCTGACACAGTACGCCTCATTAAAATGAACATACAATCGAGTAGGGTTTAAGCAGTATGATCATGGTAGCAAGCCAACAGTAAAATTGACTTGTTAAACTGATCTTTGAAGACCTAGCTAGCCGAAACGATCGGTCAATAACCACGCGGTACACTGGGACATTTACACTCGAGTTCTTGAACAGTAATCGCACACACGCTGAATTGGGTACGTCTTCACACTTGAACTAATGGTTGCCTTGTGCAGACTGTTGAATTTAAAGACAAGGCAAAACAATCCAAAGGTTGATCCAAAACACCGTTAAACTACTAAGATTGCTTAAAATATTTCTTTCTGGGTTTTGATAATATTCGTTACATTTTTTTGCAATTTTTTTCATACACACGCCCAGACCGTAGGCTGAGAGAATTGCCTCGGGGACAGCTGTAAAAATTCATGGTAGGACTCTAGAAATATTTCCAAAAATATCCAAGGTTGGGGAACTACCCACTTCCCCTATACACACACACACACACACCACCACCACCGAGTACGTGCACGTAATTTACCCCATCCTTTTACAAAACAATAATAATAATAAATAAATAAACAAATAAACAAACAAAAAAATAAATAAATAAATAAAGTAAAACAAAAAAGCATAATTATCATGTAGAGGTTACGTCCATGAAATCCTTTTCTTGTTCTCTGTTGATCACTTTGTCCAGGGGTACTGCAACACTGGTCAAATTGAGACAGAAGGGCCACTTCGCCACATTGTATACACTTTCTGCCCAACGTGATGTGTTTATTATTGTCACTACATATATTCACCTCCAGATGGCGACACGCACGCTGGCCAGTGTTGTGTTTTGTGTTCCATCTGTCAATATCGAAATAGAGATGAGATAGGTAAAAGAAAATAATTCTGATCAGTAACAAACTAGCATAAGGTTATATCAGTTATTAAAATCGTTATACATTACGGTTTAGGAGTGTATCCTTGACTATTGTACAGAGTTATTAGCTTTATTATCGAATATAAAAAATACCAAAGCTTCGACTTCGAAAGAATCACTCTCCTCAGCCGACATCTTCTATTTTACCACTATAAATTGACAGAAATGATACTACTTAGCTGTCCTCACTACGGTGGGACATATACTAAAATTGGAACGATACAGAGAAGATTAGCATGGCCCCTGGCGCAAGGATGACACGCACATTCGTGAAGCGTTCCATATTTTTCTTTTTGAAAAAATTCCAAAATTAAAGTTATCCTATAAGTTTTGTACAACCTCAAACAGAAATAAGGGTCTATTCTTTGGCTCTTCTCTACTTCTTTTTCCTCTTTAAATAATGTTTTTGTACTTATATAGTATATATTATTATTTTTATTTTATCAGTTATTCCCTGGTAAAAATGAAATAATGTAGGCTGCTCTGTGGATCGTGTTTAGCACAACTTCAGTCTGAAAAACAACTCGAATCAAAAACTGTTCTTCAGGACCCGTTGTAATCTTCTGATCGTCCACTAATTTAAGATTAGGCCTATAGATTAAGATTATACGCAAAAGATAAATAAAGATAATAAAGATAAATAAATACTACTTACTTTGTACATTCTCAGCTACAGGACAAAGCAAAAACTACTAAATAACTCTGATTATTCTAAACTACTGAACAATAAAAAGTTAGAAAAGGACACTCAAGTTAAAACAAGAATGCCCATGCATCCTATAACTCGACTAACAATAAAATGAAAAATAAGAACAATCACCCTTGAAAATGTGAATAAATCAACAAAACATTAAATCTAAACTATATGAATACATTTGAACGTGCAAAGCTACTTAGAAAACAAAATATGCAGTTAAGAATTACTAGTTTTGAACACTTAACGTAAAATTTGATAAAAACTACAAGGCATTCCACGTAAACTAGGGAGCAAATATGTAGTTCTGAGGTGTAGAGAGACACCAGTCGTCCCAGCATTAATTAGCAAATGTTTAGACCTACATGTGTGTTTATCGGAACTGACTGGATTGAAAAATGAAGTGCGTTATTATACTGGTTTTGTAATTGACGTAGATGAATATAAACTTACCTTGTCTACACTTCACTGGTGTAGTTGTCCACAAAAATGCCCCAAATGCTCCGTTTTAAACTCTTTGTACACAAACCGAGCAGCTAAGACCTGCGCCTCAGATTCTCAAAACAGGCTACTCACCGTCTTCAGCGTACTCCGAACCACGACTGATATTCAACCCCAAATCACTCCCTTTGAGCCCTAGTTCATGCAAAAATTATATGCCTGCCCTGTCTCAAACAAGAGTGGTAGCTATTGTCTGTCAGAGCACTGGGGAGGATTTAACACTTCACCACTCGTGCCCCAATGCAGCTGTACGCACTTCGGACCTGATATACAAATCCGCTTCATTTTCTGACATGTCCCAGCCGGTCGCTAGTCAGCACAATTTGCTTTAACTGTCCGTTCGGGCGATAACTTATTTAAAGGGATAATAACTCTTCATTTCGGCCAAAAAAATGAATTTTCCTGGAATAAACAACAATTTTCCCCATACTTACCAATGGTTAATGAATCCATTTTTACATTCAAAGTTAGTCCCTGTTTTTATTTTCTAAAAAGTTTGGTTTTTTGTTAAAATCTCTTAAAACAGAGTATAGCCATCAATAGAGGTCATGTGGTAGAAAGACAAACTCAGATATCAGAAAAAATAGCTATAACTGCCGTTTTGTGGTAAAACAGAATATATTATGTTTCTGTGAGTTATTCACAATGTTTTTATTGTGAAATATAGATCTCATACGAAGAGTTATTATCCCTTTAAGTTCCCTCAGGAATTGGAAGAACCATAGCCCGCCCGGATAAAGAATATTCGAAAAGTATGATGCAATGTCTTCATAAAAGTATGTGTCTTTGTTATGGTGAAAAAAAAAAAAAAAAACAAGGAAAATAAAAATGTAATATACTGACTTCTTACACAAGTGAAAGGGATGGAAATAAAAGGCATTTTTTCAACTATTCATTTTCAGTGCTTCTTATTCTTAACCACCCGTTTTTCTGAACACCACTTTCAAATATGGTCCGTCAATGACATCTCAGTGTGCTAGTTGAGACGTCGCTTCTCTACCACATCTGTAACTATGTTGACACCATCCTGGAGTGGATGAGCGTCTTCTCTAGCACATCAATCTTTCGTATGAGCCACAGATGAAGAACAGATGTAGCTCCTCTAACGCAACTAGCTTTCTGCAGGTTGGGAAAGTTGAATTTTTTTTTTGGGGGGGGGGTGCTAGTAAAGTATGTGGTCGCGCGCGCGCGTGTGTGTGTGTGTGTGTGTGTGTGTGTGTGTGTGCGGGGAGGAGGGAAGTTAAAAAGGGAGATTGACCTCATTTGCGTTAATCTCCCTGACACTCAATCACACAAACTGGATTTGAACTCTACCCGTCACCCTTCACTGGTAAACGGATCCCCTTTTATGAAAGAAAGGGGTGGTAGGTTTGTTTTCTTTGTCATTTTTTTTTCTCTTCAGTTGCTTATAATGTCTATATGTAACTAACCTTTAGGAGCACTAAATCGAGGTGTATTAGGAATTAACACATCCCCTTATGTCGATGACACATACCCACCACTTTTTCGACAAAAAAAATAATTAGCCTTTCCCCTAAACTAAAATGAACAAAACCAAATCCGAAACGTGATTCCGCGAAGTATCAAAACTGATTTCTGATTTGTCAGTTTCAGGAAACTGTTCTAGAACCATGTGGCATAGGGTGACTATTCTTCAAGCTGGGAAGACGTACTCTTATTCTCGCCTGGGAGACGCCAACTTGAACATGTGCTTCAAGTTTCAAAGATTTCACAAAGGTGAGATGTGATACACCAGTCGTGCTGCTGTGGAAAGTGCGCCATGTCGAGTATATTTTATTATATGAGGCATAATAGATTCAAATTGTAAAGCTTTTTTGCAAGTTCTGTCATAGAAGACCGAAGAAATTTTAGTCGCTGACGTCTTTTTTTTTTTATGGGGAGGGGAGGGAGATAAGGATTCAACGTCGGGCCAATCTCCACTTAGCTTTCAGAAAGTTAGGTTATAAACGCTGCAGTTGGAAATTTTGTTCAAGTGCAAATTAAAAAAAGGTTTTCTTCTTTATTCTGGCACAGGTTTAAGAATTTGACCAGAAGTGTACCAAAACATAAGCGAGTGTTGGTTGTTTACAGCTGTGGGACAGACCTCAGCCTTTGATAAACGAAATACCAAGCAAAATAACAACAGCTTGATATGAATGAAAGCTGAATAGGTAAGTCCATTAAATTTTTTTTTTTTTTGGGGGGGGGGGGGGTGCATTTAAGAATTCAAGTGGGATTATACTTAAATGCCTAAATTTATTAGAATAATTTTTAAAAGGGGCAATTGTCAATTAATCATGGTATTTGTTGCTAACCATTTCTCTGTAGCAAAGGATAGAAAAAAATTTAAGATATTGATAACCAACACCTACTCTAGTCCAGAATGGACTAGGCTTAGTGACATGTGTTTGTCCTCATGCTGTGATTGTTTGCTTTAATTGGCTCTACAGTCTAAGTTCTGATTGTTTCACCTAAATATGTCAGTAGAAAAAAACAGATATTCTGAGAGCAAGAAGCAATGCAGTGAAACTGCATGTGGTTTAGGTTAGGTTAGATGAAGCTGAACTAATATAAAAAGTTTTAGTTCATAGAAGCCATGTGTTGACTGGTTGGCTGTTGCAGTTGTTATATGGGCGGCGGTTTATACAAAAATGCAAAACACGATACGAAACTAGTCGCGTTTTGATGATGACTAGTTGCGTTTTGATGACTAGTTGCGTTTTGACGACTACTAGTCGTATTTTGCCTTCTGATCTGATAACGACGACGACTAATCGTGTTTTCATTTCGACTGATCTGATAACGATGACGACTAATCGTGTTTTGCATTTTTGTATAAACCGCCGCCCATATTGTTACTTAAGTTTGTTGCAAGTAGTTGCATTATTTGCTGGCAGTTTGTAGTTCATTTCCTGTCCCCTGACACCTCCATAACAACAATTTGTCTGATTGATACAAAGTTAGTAATTTTTAAATTGATATTTTATTTGTTTATCTTTGTCATTCAGGAATCCATTCAGCTGTGCAACACCTGTTTTGGAATACAAAGCACAACATGATTCTTAAATAGGAGTCCAACGGTCACCAGAACATGTGTTACAACATATTTGGTAATTAATAAAATATATTTCATCATTATTGCTTTAGATTTTGAGGTATTTAAAAAGCCCTATGAAGATTTAACATTAGAACAGTTGTTATCCCTTGGAAAAAACAAATGCAGGATTTCTTGTAGTTGGGGAGTGAGAAATTTTTAAGTTGCTTGCACACGTTTCTATTTTCTTGGAATTTCAGTGCCATTTACAGGCCTACCCAACTACCAGACTCGGTACCTAAGGATCCTGAATTAACCGGTATATCGGACCACGCTATCCGTTTTCAAGGTGTGTGTCAGATCGCATTTCGGAGTATCATACCCCAGAACGAATTTTGTAGCACGACTGCAGGCTCATCCACGCTCGGCTGAACAACCTTAAACTGTACTCTTACTTTAGAGAACTCTATTTTATTGTCTCTATGGGGATATATGGGGACTTTACAACATTCGGTTTGAATGTTTTAACCACTTTTGATAGGGCTTTTTTGCATTGTATTAGATTAATGTGGCAGTCTGAGGTTCATCTAGGTGGCTTTCAAAATTATGCACCCGGTTTTTAAATCATATAGCCATTTTACGACAATCGTTTACTATCCAATTAAGGTGACAGCCGAGCATGCCAGGGCTCATCCTGTCGGTGTTCTGGTTGATACTCCGAAATGCCATCTGACACACACCTTGAAAACGGGTAGTGTGGTCCGATATACCGGTTAATTCAGGATCCTTAGGTGCCGAGTCTGGTAGTTGGGTAGGCCTGATTTAGCGAAATTTCTTCACCATATAACTCGTTTTCTATTATAGCTGCCACTGATGGACATGATTTTAATGAACCAGCATTGGAGGAGGAGACATTGTGACAGCTACAATACTGTGGTCCTCTGAAATAGGAAAAGGCTAGACTGTCCCTCTGTTATTTCATCTGAAGGTAAGGGTTTGGCATTTTAGTTTTCAAAATATGGTTGGGAGACAATTGTTTTCTGTTAAAAGCAATGTACACTATGTGATGAATAGTTCGCAATTTACCAAAAGCAACATTTTATCTGCATACCTGCCCGATTTCCTCAGGATAATGGAGTGGATGATTTTTAAATATTTCACCATGTTTCATATAGACAAAAGAGCATATACTATGGGGAAGCACTAGAATGTTTTAGCCAAATTAACTTTATTTATTTAATTATAATTATTATTATTATATTTAAGTAAAAAGGGTGCACACAATGGACAGATATAATCAGTTTGCTCAATTTGAAAACTGTATAGTCTTCATGATGATTATAGAATGCCATACACCCCCCAAAAAGAATATATATATATATATATATATATATATATATATATATATATATATAATCGCTGATTATGACAAATGTGTCACTGACAGGGAAGTTGGGAGTGACCTTTTTTGTTTATTTTCCAAAAATATTTTTAACACATGCATTCATTATTTCAGAGGCAGTAGAGAATGGTGGAAATCTGTGACAAGTGAGGATGAAAATGCAAGCAACGGTGGTCATGGTGACAAAAATGGCAGAAGAGACCAAAGATTTGGAAGAAGTGATAAGAGAAGATGTGTGTGAAGAAGGGCAAGTCATTGGTGGAAAAGTAGGGTGTTATCATCATGGCTGTTTTCTCAGTTTTATCCAGCACGTTGTCACATGTATTTTGCTTTGCCTAATCAATTTTGTTTTAGAGTTTTGTTTGAATTTTTTTTATTACAAAGATGGAAAAACAAAACTTATATATTACCAGATGACCCTTATAGAGTGTGGTTGACTTTCTGGTGATACCTGCATGTCACTGAAGTGTATTTAGTCCAGCTGAAAATGGTACAGGTTTTTGACCTTGCTATTAAGTATTCTAAAAAGTCTGTCAGTGAAGTAAACTTAAAGATATGACAGTAGTATTTTTTGTTTTATTCATACATTTAATTACCACACCTGTGAGTTGAAGGTATAGCTTACATATTCTACCAGCTAACAATGTTCTGCAGACTGACGTAGTCTCTCTTGAGCTCATACAAAAAAACAAATCGTTTTGTCCTAAGTTGAAAATGTACAGATCTTCACCTTGTTTAAATGTCCTATATTTAATTATTAAGATGTATCCCATGTGTTACTCTGCAATTCTGTATGCCTTATACTTTGGTATTGAATCATAAGTTTCTATTGTTCTCTGCACGATGCCCTTAGTGCATGCTCTAGGTTTTGCGTTACCTTGTAATTATGTGAATGTTGTTATATTGGTCTATTTGTTGTAGGATTTGCTGTGAATCTGCACATAGGTGTAATTGGTCAGAATACTGCAATAATTCTTGTTGATTTTATAGTGACCTTTGCCTCAAATGACCAGATAGTTGTGTTACTAGCAGCATAAGGGGGCGCGGAGGCTTTGAGAAGCTCATGCCTTTAAAGATGACAGCAAATGGACAAAGGCGAAAGAAGTTCCATTTGGCAAAAAACTGTTTATGGTGACTTTGAACTCTGACCCAATTAATGGCATTGACCTTAATTTTCCTGACCTAATTGTACACTTAGTTTCTGGCAGTCTGTTCGGCAAAGTGTCCATGTTCTCTCTGTGTACAGCAGACATCTTCACAATTACTGTTGAATTGCAATCAACTCTTGAGCCTTTGAACATTCTTTTATGAGTCTCTTTTTGAAGTATGGAGTGTACTGTTTACCCATATTTGGCAACATCCCTGGGGGGGGAATGATTTTCTCCATATCTTAGGTTATTTTTTTAAGCTGTACACAAAAAGTTCAAAGATTTAGTTAATGTAAAATCCATCAAATCTTCAGTTCTTATGTTTTTTCCCACTGTCCTTGAAGGTTCATTGGTTGGACCAGCTGTCCATCAAAGCAGCCGTGTTCGGTTTCCCCTTTCTCGAGGGTGGCTGGCGCACAGTCCGTCCAGTAATTCCTTCCACTTAATTGTGGTTGCATTCTCTAAATTAATAATTGTAGCACCTTTCCATTTTTAATACATCACCAAAAGTGGATGTTATTTGGATGTTACTGAAAATGTGCCCACCTGGCTGTGGCCATACTTTTTCTATGTGATGACTTGACCAGTTTTTGCCAGGTATCTCTCTTTTTCTGGCTGCAAGTTTAATATTGCAGCCAATAACAAAATTCAGCCACGTCCTCATCCATGTTATTTGGGCCTTGTTGTCCTCCAGCCAGGTAAATACATCCTTGAGGTATACTCCCAGCAACCAAGGCACTTAAGGAACAGGAAGCATCACTGGAAGCTGAGCACTTGGAAGGAAAACGGTCATCATCTCCCGCCGCCATCCCCCCATGATGCCTGGAATGACTCTCTTGCTTGCAGATACTGATACATACATATTGAAGCTAGGATGTTAATGTAGCTGTATGTATATTTTAGAATAGTAATTGATTTGTTTAAACATACCACTTGCTCTTTTTTTCCCCTGTCTGCCAGACTTCTATCAAATGTCATAAGGTCATGATCGGTTTTTAATGGGAATATTCAATGATCAATGCTTCCGGGAGTGGTCTTTTTCATTATTTGTGACATAGCCCTTCTTATTTGCCTCTGTTCTTCCACTTTGTGCATCACGTTAGTGGCCGAGTTACCCAAGGTCCTCTGCCTGAGGAGTTGTACCACCTTCAAATCACATGAGTACCTGAGATGCAAATGATTTTTGTTACAAGCAAAAATTTTGTCAAAATCATGCCCGACATTCACAAGTTATGATCTTGTTTTTTCTTTTACTGTCAACAAACAAATAGTGCAAGTTACTACTACTGTTTCCTGTGATGGACAATCTGACAAAATAACAATTCAACTGGAAAACTAATTAATTCTCATCTTACCTAAATGTCAGCACTGCTGGGAAATAGCTTTTCCGCCCCAGGTCTAGCTGGTCAAGGACAAGGGGGGAACAGCTCGCAAACTTCCTCTTCCAGAATTTGCATTCAAGGTATTCAGTACCGATGTAGTACCAGCCATCTACATCAAGTACTTTCCTTACTGTCTGGTATCGACCTGCCATTGTAGGGTGATACTGCAACACAAAATAAAATATTAAGTAATTTCTTAGTGCTAGAAAACAAAATAAGAAATGGACAGTCACTGATAAACTCAAACTTATAAATTCAACTTAATATATTTTTTATCTCATTAAATGCAACCTTAATTTTTCATAAATGTAAGCATTAATATATATATATATATATATAAGTAGCTAGGGATCCCTTGTCCTTAAAACGATTAGAAAGTCCGGTTTCGAGAAATGAACAAATGGCTTCTGGTTCGGGTTGTTTAAATGCATACTCTGCTGCCTCACTTCGTCAGCCTAAAAATTCTCTTCATAACGCGTTATCTGCCCTTGCCTCTGCGGCCTGTCATTTTGCTTCTTCTGCCTCAACGTCTCCTTCCTTGATTAAGCACTGCAGGGTTTCTTCTGTTTTTCTCTCTCTAATAATTCCACTTTCTTCTCTGCATTTTTAGCTGATTGTAACTGTTTTTAACTCTTTAATTTCTTCAGTTGAAATCGGTTGTCCACCAGTCTATACGTGTGTGTGTATATATATATATTTATATATATATATACATATATATATAATGGAAAGAATGAGAACATATTTGTACTTGCGCAGTGTTTAAGGTTACTCATCAATTAAAATATTCTGATGTGAGCAAACCGTGGTCTTCTTGGCTGTCTGCTTCACAACACACTCTTGGTGGCATTTCAGCTTCAAGTTCCACACTCGTAGTGGTGCCCAGAGGAAAAATGGTCTCAGAAAATATGGGTCAGGGGAAGATGGAGGAACCCCGTGGACCTGCAGGGGCTCTGGTGGATAATGCCACATGGTCAGCTTAGGAGCAATTCCCGCTTTTCCAGTAATGGGATTTATCCTGAACAGGACCTTGGCCAGCCAAGCCTTATCAGGAGGGGGCAGCGTGTTTTGCATTCCCTTAGGCAGGGTCACCTGACAAGAAAAAAAAAAAGATTTTATAAAATAAGTAATTAATAGTTTTTTTTTATTTTGTGTGTGTGTGTACTGTAATCTGTGAATGCAAAGCTATGAATTGAAAAATCTCATCCATATAATTTTCAAAGATATTTTTGTATGCTTATGTACCTCTGTTTCTGTCTCCGTCTGGCATGCTGATGCGCGTGCCTGCATGCACGGGACTATCTTTGCTTGCAAATCCCTCGTGGAGGTGGAAATAGCTGATGCTAAAAATTGATGATAATGATAAAAGATTATATATATATATATATATATATATATATATATACTTGGCATTAAGGATGACATAAAATATTAAACAAATTAAATAATAAAAGCAGCTCGGCAACTACCAATTTTCAATCCAATTACAGGCAGGATATGTATCCACAGTACTGTATCATAAAGATTATAACATTCAAAAGAACTTGCTGTGATAGTGAGACTGCTCACTATAGAAATTAAATTAATCAACAATACATACATGTTGCCTGTGGCTCTGGTATTGCCAGCATTTCCTCATCAGTCACCTCTTGTTCTACAAAATTAAATAATACAAATAAATAAATAAATATTAACAATATTCAAGTGAAACAATGTTAAAATTTCTTTATCACAATAGGTTTTATTGGGAGATTATTATTTCACACATGATAATATTCACAGAGCTTATTTTATAGATAAATGTTGGCTCATATCAAAATTTTACAATTTTAAATGTTACCTTCTGCAATGTTTGAGCTATCAAGGCGTGGTAGCTTCACAACCCCTGGGTCAACTGCTGCACGCCTCTTCAGCTGCTCTTCTTGTTTCATTTTTATGGCTTCTTTTGCCCCAGGAAAGGATTCCATGTATTCCTAAAGAAATTGATTCAGTGGTTAAAGTGCTGATATGATGCTCTTTATATAGTGAGAAAAATTAGTCATTACCATCCGTACAGAGTTCTAAAATGTTACAGTTACGTGTTACAGACCATCTACACCTCATTTTTACATAATAAAAATTATACAGCGTGTCTCACTTAACTTCCATTTCCTCATTTAAATCAAAGACATGCAAATAAACAAATGCAATAGAAATTTTCAAATAGTATCCATCTTCTTAGCTAAGTTAAACACATTTACAGTCACTGCATAGGCACCTTACATTTTTTAAATATCACATATATTTCTTAATAACATTTCATAAGTCTCTGTCATACCTTCAAACTGAATTTATTTTCACTGAGGGATGCATCATTCCTGGTTTCCTTGCCTATTGAGGACACAATCCAGGCAGCATAACCAAGGCTGTTCTCTAGCAGCCAAAGGAAGGTCTGGCCCCCTGTATTTCCCAAACTGCAGCACGTGCTACCCCAGTACAGCAGTGCGATCCCTGGGATCACCCCCCTTCTCTCTCTCACAGACGCCTCCGCCTTTGCTGCCACCTCTTTTCCACTCAATCTCCTCACTACAGGTGCTGTCTTGTTTCTACTTTCTACAGATCTTGCTTCTACTGAATCTGCTAGTCTAAGTCGTCTGTTGCTAAGTCTACCAAAAACTGGATTCATCTGTGATTTTAGGAAAAATATAATTACTTAAATGACACATAAATTACTTAGTCTCGGTTCCAGCATAATTATCCCTAATGTAATGTTATCAAATATTCATTTTAAATATGCATGAAAAAGCCTATTTTTCCAAACAATTTTAAGTTGGTACATAGTGACTTAGGCTTCGTTCACATGCAATGCCTATTTTCTATTTTCTATTTTCGGTATGTCTTATGATCACGGTCTGTGCACTGAATATCCCGCCGCGTAATTACTGGCAGCGCGAGCCAGTTACTTATAGTAACTTATAGTAACTGGCTCGCGCTGCCAGTAATTACGCCGCGGGATATTCAGTGCACAGACCGTGATCATAAGACATACCGAAAATAGAAAATAGACATTGCATGTGAACGAAGCCTTAGTGACTTGATTATACTATTATTCTACAATATAAATTTCAAATTAAGGCAGTGCATTTAACTGAACCTCTGGACATTTAAATAAGTCTAAGAAATAAGCTCTTTTTGCCTTGCCAGATATAATTAATAGATGGTACCTTAAAAAACAATTAACAAACACCCTTCTAAGAAAAGCAAGATACACAGGTGACCATTCACTGTCAACAGGTAGTACTGGGATGCAATAACTAGGTGTTATCCACACAAAAGAGGAGGGTGGGCACAATAGACTGGTGTAATTGAAAGATGTTGGCTCATATGAAAATGTTTTTTACAATTTTAAATGTTACCTTCTTTAATGTTTTGCACATCAGGGCTTGACAACTTAACAACTCCTTGGTAAGATGATGCTACGCCTCTTCAGCTGCTCCTCTTGCTTTTCCCTAATAGTTTCTTTTCCCTCATGATATGATTCCATGTATTCCTTGAGAAATTGATTCAGTGTTTCAAGTGCTGATATGATGCTGTAATATAATAAAAAATGGTCATTACCATCATTTCAGATTACTAAAATGTTACAGTTACATTTAGCAAGCCATCTACACCTCATTTCCACATAATAAAAATTATACACAATATTTTCACTTAACTTCCATATCCTCATCTAAATCATTCAAAGGCAAATTATCAAATACATTAGAAATTTCCAAATAACAATATCCATCTACTTAGCTAAGTTAAACATATGAATTTATAGTCACTAGAAATCTTAATTTTTTTTAGTATCATATATTCTTAATAACATTGTACAAGTCACTTTGTCATACATTCAAACTGATTTTGTTTTCACTGATGGGTGTGTCAGTCCTGGTTTCCTTGCCTATCAAGGACACAATCCAGGCAGCATAACCAAGGCTGTTCTCCAGCAGCCAGAGGCAGGTCTGTCAGAGGTACTTCCCAAACTGCAGCACATGCTGCCCAAGTACAGCAGTCCGATCCCTTGGATCACCCGGCTTCTCTCTCACAGATGCCTCTGCCTTTGCTGCTACCTCTTTCTCACTCAAGCTCTTCACTACAGGCACTGTCTTGTTTTTGTTTTCTAAATATCTGCTGTACCTGGTAGTTACAGTCGTCTGTCACTAAGTCTTCTAAAAACTGGATTCATCTGTAATTTTTGGAAAAACCTATCATTTTATGATATAAATTTCACGTAAAAGCAATGCTTTTAACTAAATCTCTGGACCCTAGAAATAAGCTCTTTTTCATATTAGTTGCATTGCAGTTTTTTTTTTTTTTTTTTTTTTTTTTTTTTCATATTAATTGCATTGAATAAATAATGACAGTCCAGCTGTCTTTGTATGAATGCCAGTCTAATCAGGAATGAGTATTCGGGAGAGGGCAGTCCTTATTTATGCTGCCCTCACTGTTGTTGTTGTTCTAAGAGGGCCGTCATTCGTTCCTTCCAGGCTAAGTACGTCAGGCCCTCTGCATAGTCAGGGCAGTATGTATGGCCATGGTAGCCGCTATGACCTGTCTGGATGTTGCGTGGTTTTCCACATTTTTTACAGTTGTTGGTTTTTCTGTCTCTCTTAACCACAGATGTCAGTAATTTTTAAATTTGTATAATACCAATATTGTCTAAATAAGATGTTAATACAAATTAATAATGTTAATACAATAGTAATAATCTAAAAATTTACTTTCTCTGGGTGGAGAAGTATTGGTTGCCTCTGTCACGGAGGTGGTGTGTGGTTTAGGAGGGATGTGGAATACAGGGTCCTCATCAGCATCTGCAATTGTGGGAGCACAGTCTTCAGAGAACCCCCCCTCATCATCAGCATCTTCCTCCATTGTCTCGACAATCTCCTCATCGGGTGCATCTGGGTCCAGTTTTATAGGTTCTAGGGTCTTCCCAGTCTGATAGAGGAGGTACTTGCACCCTAGAAGCTCACTTAGAAGTAAAGAGAGAAATAAGAGAATTATAAGTAGCAGGCCTCAATTTTTTTTTCACTATAATTTATTGACTGCAATTACATCTAAACTAATTATATACATATAAATTACATGAAATCTAAAGCTCTTTAATTACCAGTGTATTTCATCCCAATATTTTCTGAAAATTAAGTTTTTATACAATCTAAGCTGAAAAAATGAAAAACAAAACGAAGAAACAAAGACTAAAAAAACTTACTTCTCGACACTCTCCACCCCAGGAGTGATGGTGTTTTTGGAAGAGGCAAAACGCCCCTTTGTGTGCCTTTTCTAGAAGTGTGGAGTGTAGCAGAAGTGTTGTTTGCCCAGTTCTGGCAACGCCTCCCAGTGATGGATGATCTTCTACACATCTTCAGTTAGGAGGCACTCACTGTAAATGTTAGGTAGGGAGACGAGAACAGAAGCCAGCTTAGTCATGGCATCACAGTCTGGGATGTGTTGTCTGTCCAGTATCCCAAAATGTTTATTTTTATGTTAAATATTGAAGAGTTTTTGAAATATTTAAGAAGAATAAGGAAAGGTTTTTCTAATAATGTACAAAGTCACCTTACAAAATACCTTACAATATTCTTTACAAATAAAACAATAACCCTTATAAAATAAATACATGAAATAAAACTTACATAATTGTGGAGTCTTCGACAAAAGAAAACTAGAGTTACACCCTCTGCTATGTGTCTGGTCTGAGAGGAGATGAATGTGACCCAGATTCACATGAGTGAGTACTTTCAGCTTTGTTACACCTGAGTGGCATTAGTGAGCAGATAAGTTAGCAACAGAGCATTTTGCACATCTGTAACCTCCTTCCCATCTTTCTCTCTCTGGAGATCAAGGAGAAGTACTCTTCTGGGGCAGGGCTGGGTGTGTCCACCATTTCCACATACTACGACCTGGGCATGGTTACCGTTGCTTAAAAAAAAAAAAAAAAAAAACAAATAAATACACTGATACAAAAACACACAAGAACAATTAAATTGTTACAAATGCCTTAGGGAAAAAAATGTGTAATATTAATGGTGCCGTTTACCTCTGGGATTTTGATAAGTTTGGGGATGAATCTCACTATGTGGGAGTGGAAGCTCTCCACTGAGCCTCTTGCACATCTGTAGACTTTCAGCTCCTTCCCGCCCTTAGATTTTCCAGTTTGGTTGTACAGAGCTCTAGACCCCTTTGACGTCCTGGCGGCATGGTATGTGGCGCTGTTGAGAGGCTCGTGTCTTGCACTCTAGGACTGGTACTCCTAGCATGTCACACCCCTGATCACTGTCCAGTGTATTGATTAGCGACTGCAACAGATGAGTAGTTTCAGCTACACCGTGGGTGCGGTGACGGCACCCGCCCAAGCATATATACCTTTTTGGAGTCTAAAGATGGATCCAAAGGTGGAGGTCACCTTGGCTTTGATCTCATCAAACCTCAACTGCACATCACCGACTAACACGGTTTGGAGCCATGCTGACCTGGGAGTTTTCAAACAGTAACGGCTGAAGAGGACTTGTTCTTTGCACATGTGATGAGCTGGCAAACTTGTCAATAACTGAGAGGAAATTGGCTACCCTGCTTATACCAATCCCTGGTGTGCTGCTCACACAGTTGCTTGCTCAGCCAAGTAGTACTGTTCCCAAGAGATCACTCTCTCAGGAGAGAAAGTATCCAGGTAGAGCAAAAGTACCTGCAACAAAGAATAAAGAACAGAATAAGTTATAAAAGTATAGACAGAGTTGTTTTGTCTGCTGTCCTGTTGGGATGTGGTCATAGGAGCGGCAGCTGTACTGGTGCCAGCACCAGCTAAGGCAGGGACAGGTAGCTCTAGGTGTTCTGAGTCACGCAGGTCTTTAAGTTCCACGGCTGAACAAAATGGGAATAAATTCATTACATTTACCTCTAGTGGTTGGTGCTGTCTGGGGCAAAAAGGGGGGCGTCCACCATTTCCACATTCTCAGACCTGGGCAGGTCACTGTGGCTTAAAAAAGGGAAAAAAAAAAACGAGAACACATACAGAAGCACACATCAACAATTGAATTGTTACAAATGCCTTAGAAAAAAAATTGTAATAATATATGTGTCACTTTCATCTTCGTGATTTGGTCAGATTCGGAGTTGGTCCTGGGGGACCAAGCTGGCTCTTCACTCCAGCTTTGAACCCTGCTGGTGACAGATGACTGCTGACCATGAGGCTGTGCAGTGCGCTGGAGGATACTGGTGCAGGCTTGGCAGGTGGTTTGATTTTTGCCTGCCTCTTTTTGGACTTGGCCTCCCGACACTGTGGGATCAGCTCGAGGTACTCCTATGTAAAGTCAATAAAGGTGATTAAGACAGGTACCCTGACAATAAAGGCATTGTCCAATGACGAGGGGGGGAGGGGGTGCAGAAAACTAACTGTATGCTATGGGCATTACTTTCAATAGCAAACAAAATAATATGACAAAGATTTAAAAGGAAAATATTTTCCATGAGCTTGTACTTGTTCACACTCAGTAGGCTAGGGTGTGAGTCTCCCTGTTCAGACTTTCTGCCAGGTAGGCAGCATACCCCAGGGAATTCTCGATCAGTCACAGGAAGGTCTACCCCTGGTATTTTCCGAACTGCAGCCTGTGATGTCCCAGCAGCTGTTTCGTGTCGGTGACATCCAGGCCAAGTTGAATGACTGCAGACCTTGCCTCCTTTGCAACCTTCTACACTGGTTTTGCAGCTGTTGATGCTATCTGTGCAGGGCTGGGTGTGTCCACCATTTCCACATCCTC